TTATATATATTTTATATATATATATATATATATATATATATATATATATATTAATATTATATTTATATATTCATATTATTAATTGTAATAAAATTAAAAAAAAAAATTGGGTAAAGAAAATGAGAAATTTTATTATTTTAATTAATAAAAAATTTAATTTATATATAAAAAAAATTAATTTGGCACCCGCTAACTTTTTATCCAAATTCTACCACTAGTTGTGTATGATGTGTAGTTGTGAATTATGATGTTGCATGTTGGGTTTTCTCAAGTTTTAGGTGTAGAGAGCCAAAGACATGAATCTACCGAGTACAAAATTCATCGTTGCACTAGGTGTAACTTCATGGCACCAGGCATGATGCATGCCAGAGGCTCTTTGCCTCATTGACACTAAGCACGAGATTGGTAGCGTTAAGCATGAGTTGTAGGAGAGCTTTTTGACTTAATTGCATTGGACATAGTTTGAGGCGTGTTGGGCATGGATTCTCTTAGAGCTTTCTCACTTGGTGATGTCGAACCCCAATTGACGGGCGTCAGGCGTGATTAAGATAGAAGCTCTCTGCCTAAATAATGTCAGGTACTAGTGTTGTGACATCGAGAATGAGTCATGCAGAGGCTCTCTGCCTAAACAAGGTTGGGTGTGGTTTTGGCTACGCCAAGGTCAATGACATAGAAGCTCTCTGCCTTATTCATACCAAGCATGAGTAGTTTAACATCGGGTGTAGACGAGCCAAAGGCTCTTTACCTTAATGACACTAGACGTTAGGAGAATGGCGTCGGGCGTGAGTTGCTTAATGAAAAGTGGTTGATTATATTTGACTAAGTGTTTAACATGTATGTGATAAGTTGGTTTTCTCACATGTTGTATATGGTCATATGATTCTAGTTCATTGAATATTGATCTAGGATGATGTATATTAATATTTAAGTTGCTTGAAGTTGCAAGTTGATGAGAGTTGGAAATATAGCAATGTTGTATGTTGTGTAGTATTGAAAGTTATGGTGTTGAGAAGGCTTAAGGTATGGTGTTGAGTTGTGTTGATTGACCTAAGACTAGAGGATAGTAGTTGTTTTTAAAAATATGAATGTCACATTTTGCAAAGATGGTGTTTTGTTGCTCTACATGCCTAGTGTTGAAAAATCCTTCATGAGAAGTTGACTCTTGAAGTGGAATCTCAAGCTTTCTTTGAGTCCTTAGTTGATATAGTATAGGGGTTAGGTCGAGTCATATTATTATAAAGCAACCAAAATAAAATAATATAGGGATTAGGTTGAGTTATACTGATTATAAAGTAACCAAATGTAGATTTGTATGGGCGCCAAGTCGAGTCATACGCAAAGTGACCAAATCGAGTAAAATATAAGGTTAGGGGCCAAAACTCCTAACTAAGTATTGGAAGGGACATAATATTTGAAGGGTAGTCGACAGAGTCATTCCATAATAAGCTTAATTATGAATGTTAAGATCGTGGTAAGCTCATATCCAAGTTGTCTTAACCCTGATAGAAGTACTGGACTTTTCTAGTTTAAGTGGCGAAATCCCATAAACCATGTTGTGTTGTAGATTTTTATCCAAATTTGTCGTTGATCTAGCAAGCCTGAAAAGATCACATTGCTAAGTTGGTTTGATAGGGTCAAACTACTTAGATTGTTCACGTGTGTTGTAAAAGATCTTTTAGTTAAATACATGACGACGCATTGTGTTGTTTTGATGTTAAGTTATGGAGTTGATATATGTTGACATGTTGAAGTGTTGTGAAGTTGTTGTATTATGAAATAGTTTTTTGTATACTATTATGTTAATTACATGTTGTGTTAAGAATTGTAGTATTTCATATGCTAATTTAAGGTGTTGTTGTGTTGTACAGTTGAGTCCTTGATGAGTTGTATTTAAGTAGTTCTATGTTGATGTTGATAGCATACATGTACTTTACCTATATATTTGTTATGTTATTTTTTGTAAGCTTATCCTTGCATGTTTCCTTGTATGAGAGTAAGGTAAGGATAGGTTTGAGGAGGAGTACGTGTAGGGCGCCATGTTGGTGGATATCAAAGTTCTTTTGGTGCTACCCAAGAATACTATTTTGTAGTTGTTGCTTGACAGATATTTAGGATTTTGTGCTTCTAGTTTGGATTTGTTGTAGTTATGTATATATGTATAGAATTTATGTTATAGTTCCATTAAGGAACATTTATTATTTAAGTTGATTCATTCCTATACATACATATATATAGGATAATTTTAATTATTTAGTTTTATGTTTTCTGTTACTATAATTGTTAAAATATAAAATGTATGGACCTATCAAGTCGTTACATTACAAAATAACTTTTTATACTTAAAAAATATATTTTAAGTTTTGATTATTTTATAAACCTATCAAATCAATTTATTTTCTTTAATTTATAGTTTATTTTGAAAAGATTTTCATATATAAAATCACTATAAACTATTTTATTTGAATTAGGATGACAAAATATACTCAAACCTTTCAAGTACCTACAAAAATATATTCAATGGACAAGGTAAGACCATCAAAATGGGAATGAGGAGCGGAGCTAGAATTTACCTATAAAATTTAATGGAAGAAACGGTACACATATTATATTACCCACCCTATCACACTAAACCATTATTTATATTTTATTAACTAAATAAAAATATCATATATTATAATATAAAAATCTAAACATAAAATTTTAAATTGCATTAGTTTATTTATTCTATTATAATTGTTATATCTTTTATTGTTTTGTTTAATTATTTTTTAGATAGTTTAATCCATACCCTTCGTCATGTTCTAGCTTCGTCATGTATAATGTGTGTATGTACTGTGTAATATTTACATTTAATAAATATAATTACTCATAATAAGTTTTTAACAAAATAATTATATTTAGAGTTTTAAAAATGTTACTATTGTACGAATAAGGCTAATGTTGTAAACATTAGTTGATCTTTACACATTTATAAATTTGTATTGTATTGTATTTTATATTTTTCACTTATGAGACAATGATCTTTTTAACTAATGATTATGAATTTCTATAATTTCTTTTTTACATATTTGACATTTATGATATTCATCAGTAAATTTAAAATTTATAAAGAAGATTGCAATTTTTTTTAATATAATAGCTTGTTAAT